CAGTATTTATAGGTCAATACATTTGTACAAAATTTTCTACTCTGACCCCTTTGTCCTGGTCTCCTTTAGAAACACAATCTTCTGATTATTCTTCTTATGGTAGTAATATCCTTTGTTATCTCTTTTGCTAGTAAAGTCTTTGTTACATCTTTCATTAAAGCGGTCAGTGTTAGAGGGTCAGAGTGAGCAGACATGATGTCTTCACTTCTGTTCTTGCCTTGAGTTTATATCTCCTTTGGCTTTCACTGTACCAGGGCCAAAAAAAAAGTTACGCATTATTTTTCCCATAAAAATATTACCTAATATTCATAGATGCCATCTCTAGAAAGGTACTAGTATGTTTTCATAAAATCAATGAATCACAGAATAGTTAGGGTTAGAAGGAGATCATCCAGTCCAACCCCATGCCAAGTCAGGGTCACCTAGAACAGTGACACAGGAATGTGTCCCTTGGGTTTTGAATGTCACCAGAGATGGAGTCTCCATGACCTCCCTGGCAGCATATAAAAAATGTGTTTCGCAAGATACCTGTTTTGTCTGTGACTTTGGTTCTCAGTCACGAATGCTACATAACTTATATTAGTGGTCCTGTGGACTTAAATTTTGAATTGGTTTTAATGCCTTTTAAGAGAAAAGAGGATGAGTCTGCCGGGGATGCAACAGACTTTAAACAATTAAAAAATTTACTGTCAGAATCACATGTAGGGCAGAACTCTTGGGCCATATCCCACAGCAGTCCAATGTAGCCATTAAGACTTTGCAACATCAACATGTTTAAGAAAGGCTTAAGGTTTTATTAAACAAAAAACCCCAACATTCTCTGCTGCATTCAGTGTTATGCTTCTTTATCTTAATTTTCCCATGTACTGTACAGTTGCCTACTGAGGCAATACTGCACTTTTTTTTTGTAGCTTGTCAGGATATATACCTTGAAACAATTGAGGAATTAAAGGACACAGGGTTTAGCTGAGTTCTTTCACTCTCAAACTTATTAATAATATGTAAATTCTGCCAGAGTTAGGTTTCAGAGCTAATATCCTGCCAAAATAAGTGTCAACTTACAACTCTCATAGCTATCTCTTCTGTTTTGCGGATACTTTTTGCATATGTTGCCTGGAAGAAGGTAATAAGTTGTCCCAAATTTGCTTATAATACAGCAAATTTGACAGCCAAAAATCAAGTGCATCAAGCTTTGTCAGTCAGTCTTTGCTTTTGGATCAAAAATTGTTTGGAGTTTTTTTTCTCAATTAAAATCAGGGTCAGTCCCTAAAATCCAACCACATGGAAGTACGTACTTGTAAGAACTCCTAACAGAGAGAAATGGAACAATGTTCATGGCATAGCTGATCACCTTAAACACACAAGCTAAGAACAACCGTGGCATTTGCAAGTTCTCATTTACAATTTCTCTTAGAAATGGTTTGTTCTGATTTTCTTTTGTTAAAAAAATAAATGCTTGTTTTCTAGTCAGCAATCTCACCAACATTTTTATGTGTAAAGCTTAAAGGCAAGCAGTTACTCATCCTAGTTAATGCAGTGGAGGAGGGAAAGGTGATGGCAGTCAGCCACAGCCTGCACATGTAGCTATAAGGTACTGTACTTAAGAGGTAGAAGGCTCCCTACATAATGTCCTTTGTCATCCTGCTGGGGATATATTTACACTGTGAGTTTGTCTTGTCCTGTTTTGTTCCCAAATCATAATTCCTCAGTGTGCCACAACACCTCCCTTACTCTCAGCATCTTCTGGTGGGGAGCCCACAAGAATGGAGGAAGACAGGTTGAAAGAACATATTAGGTTCAGTCCACATTTATTCTTCCCATCTGAGGTGAAGTGTGGAACAGTTTTATTCCATGCACCAAAACCAATCCTCCAATCCTGCCTCCAACAGCCCTATGTCTTCCCCATGAATCATACAACCCATGTACACCAGGCTCAGGTCTCCATGCTACCAAAATCATTCAAACAGGGACACTGAGAGCCAGTTTCCCAGGACAGCTACTAAAATTTCAAAAGATGGAAAGTCCACGACTTCCCTGGGAAACCTTGCCAGCACTTAGTCATCCTCAGAGTAAAAAACTGCTTTTTGGTGTTCAGAGAAAGCCACCCGTTGTTTAATGCTGTGCCCTTTGCTTCTGGTCCTGTCCGTGAAAGAGGGTGTTAATGCTTTTGCAGGGCACCAAGGCAATGGAAGTTAGTTTATGTATTACATTACAGTGTCTAACTAAACGGATAGCACAGGACAGCCCCTGCAAAATCTCAGGTTCATGTCAGTGAAAATATGAGTATGAACTGCAGGAATTGCAGAGATGTCCCCAGTGCCATCAGGAACTCATGATTGCAGTGCTTGGCACTAAACAGGTCTTTAGTCTCAAATGTGTAAAATACTTCCTCCAGTTAACTTGACAAGTATTTTTCTACGAGAATTTAGGCTGCAAACCCACAAATCTCAGAAGTACAAGTCTTTAAAATCAGGCAGTAGATAGGGCCTGCTGCTTCTATTTAAAACTTTTCTGAGCTGTTATTTAAATTGTTGCTACACCTATTTAATTTTTCTCCACAGTATTATCAGCTGTTATTGCTATACCACAACCACCACACACCACCTCTGAACCCTGTTAGGTTCCTACAGATAGCTGGAACCTATCCATGGCCATGGAGAAACACATCTCCACACCATCTACAACCTCTGTATTCCACACCTCTGCAGTCCATCATTGTCCTACAAATAGTTAGAATGAACCATTAAATGTGTGTGTATACATGGATGGGACATGCAGACATATAAAAATATACATAAATAATGTGTACCTAAGAATAAATCTGAGAGCTGCACAGAGGAACCTGGGTGTTTGGAAGCCACCAGTATTGAGTATTTTAGGGGTTCCTAGGAGCTGGCTGCACAGGCTAGGAGACCAGCCACCTCTCTGATATTGGCCCAATACAAAACAAGAAACAAACAAAAAAAATATATAGATAAAACTGATTTTTATAGTAATTTCCATATATCTTAAAAAAAAAAACTGGATTGAAATTTATTGTAGTCATGCTTTTTAGCTCACTGCTGCTGAAGGAAGCAGTTCTCACATTCCTAGACTGCTCCTACTAATGTTCTGGGCCCTTTCTTGTGTCAGAAAAAACATTTATGCAGCTGCAGGGAGTCTGATCAATAACAAATTCACTCCTCTCCTCCTGCCAACTTTAACTCCATTCCCTGAACAAGTGCATAAATACGGTGCCAGCTCAGGCACATAGTGAGAGGGAAGTATAGCAATGAGGAAGGGTAAGACTATCTTCTTTCTGCAATTCTCACATTATGACCTGATGCAGAATAAAAAATCCATTTCTCAGAACATTACAAAATCATTAGATCACCCTAATATGTAGACCAGCAGTTAAAAAACCACAAAAAATATTATATCACACAGAATACTTATATTAACGAATACAGAGGTATCTAATGCATGGAAGTTCCAAATTATACAAAGCAAGTCTTACAGCTCAACTCTTATTTCAGATATCTAAAAGTTAGAGTGTGCATAAGACACACTAAACATAGAACAGCAATCCTGTTTACTGCCTCCATGATGACAACACCAACTCAATACAGCTTATTTGTCGATAGAGACAGTAATGCCATGAAGGATAAACTTCCTAATGGAAATTAGGACATGGACCTCATGTAGTTAATGGACTATTGGACTAATGGACACCCAGTGGAGTTCATGCAGTTTAATGTCTTATAAAGGGTGCTAAAGCACTGTTTCAGAGCTTCCCCTCCTCCACAAAAGGATGAAGAACAAGAGGAAAACTGCTGGTTGAGTGGGAAGTATCAGAAGTTGAATGCATGAGGTTTATGTCCACTGGAACATAATTTACTGCATTCACATGATTCCTAAAAGGGGCAAAAATGCAATGCCACAAAGGCAGACCAGGTAACTCAGATGGTATCTTAATTTTCATCTGAAGATTTCACTGTGAGTTCAGCTACATTTTTTCCACATACCTGACACTGTTACTTGAGAACACCAAAAATGATGTTCCTGTTGCTGTCAAAATCAAGAATTAAATTTGAGAATATGAATTATCTGTTAAGACATATGCTATAGTCAAATATATGGCAGTGGTTTGGCAAAGAAGAGATATTTGAGAATGAACAGCTTGCAGAGGGGATGGAAGGCACTTGCCAGCTTAGGGTTCAGCAATGTACATGATGCCAACAAGAACATGTATTTTAGCTTACACAGTAAACCAAACATAACCAAAATTGCCAGAAAATGCTATAGTAGATTTGGCTTTCTATTCTGAAGTTTGTTTTATCCAGAAATGACATGATTTAACTCGCAAATAAAAATATGAGCTGCTGTACAGTGCTCTGTTCTAAAAATGGATTTATAAAAACATTACTTATGTTAGTCTGGATTTATTTAAACAATGAGGAGAGGGTTTTACAAATTAACTTCTATCCAAGTAGGAATATCAAATCTGGAAGTTTCAAACACTGTATGGCTTGCTCCCTACATACTTCTTCTCCCTTTTTTTGTGAGCCTATTTTCACAAGGGAACCAGAGAAATTAGCCACTTCTGTGTTTATTATGATTAGTCATGCTTCTTGGCATAAGTTATTGTATTTTGCATTTAATAAACAAGCATTTATGATGCAAATATCCTAGGAATGGAATATATTTGTATACAAATTCTGAGAGATAGAACACGATTAATTATTTTATTTTATATTTCAAAATCTTAAATCTTTCTCTCATAAGCACACAAAACAGAACTTTACCAGGAAGGATTTTTCCAATCTTCTCCCTTTGAGTGTGGTACACTTTTATTTGTTGATCAGTGATTTTCATGAAAAAAAATCTACACTGCAGAAAGCAACAGATTAAAGAAATATATGACTGAAACTATGGTAGCTATTTCTCAGCATAATTTCCTTATAGCAACATTTGAGTGATGCTGGTTACACACAGAGATTTATTAAAAAGCAATGTCATACCTGTAGACATGCAGGAGCTCTGCCTTGGGGTTTATTCACATCAACAGCCACAAGCTGCCAACCTCCAGCAGCATCTTCATGAAACATCTTGAAAGGGAAGACGGTCGTCAGAGATGTTTTGTGTGGCAATAAATACAAGTGAGATCTAATACATTCCCCTTAAGGACCAGCATGCATTTTCATGATAGCTAGTTTAAAATAACAGAGGAATGATTCTTTCTGCTACAAACAAAAAAAAAAAAAGTAACATGCTTTTTCCAACAGTTGTCTGAATTTTACTCAGATAACATCAAACACAATGTGTCTCTATTAGCCCTAATATGGAAAACAATTCAGTTACTCTCTGGCCAGCATCATTCGATAGTGGTACCTGTTCAGAATAATTTCCTTACTAAGGTAAGCTTATCCTAAGAAAAAACAAATACATTGTGACCACATAGATAAGCTTCAAGGTGCATTTGGTAATAGCAGACAACCCCATCTTTTCTACTGGCAAAATTATTTTACTGCAAGGACCACTTTATTTTTCTTGCACTGATGCATGTCAAAAGTAGCTGGACAATACTTATATATAATTTCACAGAGATGAAAATTCCTATAAATAGCTGAATATTTCCAAGCTCTAATGATGACAATGGAAAAGGTTCTCTTGACCACAGTGGTGTTCACATTTTATCAATAGCCTCTGGAAGAGAAGACATAGGCATTCTGTTTTGTTGGGTTTTCTTCCTCAGAAATAAGGACACAAAATGATGCAGACTGCTGGACATAAGGAACAGTGAGACAGCACACATGAAAGTGATTAACACTGTCCTTGAAAATGTTCTTGAAAGAAATGAATGGTTCTAGCATTTTGAGTTGCCACCTGAATGTACCATGTAATGAAGTGTGGCAAAGTTCCCACCTCACTCCCACCTTTTCCTCGACACCCAGCACTCAAACGAGTCACCTCAAGAACACAGCCACAGGAGGGTGGTTGAAGCTTAAAAGTCATCCTGAGAGAAGTTCTCATTAGACTGGGGACAGTGTCACCCAAATATGGTTGTAATTCTTCCATGTCTTTATTTAGCATCTCTGCACTGGGAAGAGCTGCCAACTAAGATCAGCACAGTTACTCCTCTTTTTATCTGCTTTGAAGTATATTGCTAAAGTGCTTTAGAAGAACCTCCTTTTATCCTTTTATAGAGACCCTTTCCTAGACTTCGACTCCTGGACACTCATTTTCTTTTCTATAGAAACAAGTTTGGGGAACAGCTCAGAAATGTATCAAGCGGGAAAATTAAGGCATAGCTCTCAAGGCTACTTCCTGCACAAAACAAGCATGGGTTTTAACTTTCGACTGGTGCTTTGAACAAGAAATCCTGCAAGATATTTTCTGTCCTTCTTCATACAGAAAAAGATAAATAATTTTTGCAGTTTGGTAACCTGGACTCTCTAGATATCCCATTATGTCACTGACTCGAGGAATGAAGCAGCCATTCAAACCATTTGCTTGTCTGCAGCCAGCAAGCTATTTTCAATTTGCATGATGCAGATTATAGTCAACATGTTCTTCGGCATCATGACATTATTTTAGATATTTTATATTTTTAATGTTGGCTGCTTCTTGTGTTTCTCTACATTGAACTCTCTGTTCCATCCTCCAGTTCAGGCTGGATAAGCCTATATGGCTCAGAATTTGTCCTACGAACATTAAGTTCCTCAGGCTAAGCATATGTCATGTAGAAAAGTCCTTTTTTTTATACTTTAAAATGATATCACAAAGTCTGCTTTGAAAAAGACATATATACAGAGTAGAAATTATTGCCACAAAGTCTATTTGAGGCAAAAAATGTAGCAGCCAGCAGAAAAGGACTAGATTTACATACGGATTACAGGAATGTAAAAAAGAATATAAAATATTCAATAATTAATTTTGAAAACTTAAATCCTTTGGCTTAGGAAAATAAATAATCTCCAGGTACATGGTTAGAACAAATTCCCTCATGGGTATGTTTCGCATATCTGTCTTTCTAAGAGCTTTTTGCAGGCAGGTGGTACTGGTTCTTCTCAGAGATGGCAAATTGGACTACCCTGGAAAAGCTTTGTCTTTTGCCCATTTGGGACACATAATCTCATTGTTAAAATAATGAGTGAGAGAATTTAAATATCAACCCAGTAGCTCTTCTTTTTCATACTGGGTTCTTCCTCACTACTCAGCCCACCCTTTCTATCACAGTTTCTTATTTTTATTCGGCGTATCACTTTCTGTGACTGCCCCAGCTCTGAGTGTGGCTCTTTCCTTGCCCTATAGTCTATTCTTCCTTGGTCTCAACACACCCTTCTCAGTTCCAGGACCAGCTTCCCCAAACACTTCAGCCACCTTCTGACGCCTCTTCTTCCAGCTACTTTGGTATTTCAGCTCTTATTTCTTAGCACAGAAAGTGATATCCAGTAGCAATCCTGACTTCAAATGATGTAATGGTTCAATGACATGATAAAAAAGCATTATCATACTTTATTAAAAAGAATACAAACATAGCAATAGCATACTTAGCCATATAAAGAACTGTATTACGGTCTTCTCTATTATTCCTTTCTAAGAAAGACTAGTTAGATAATGCAACCAAGAATTTAATTTTTTATGAAAATTCATATATCAGGTTTAGGCTATAGGTAGCAACATGCAAAGTCAAATATGTCATATATGACAAGAATATTTTGCTTATTATTAATTCATAAACTAAACCAAATCAAATCCCCAAAGAACCTTAGCATGTCAAGTGCTTCACCTGGGTGGTGGCAGTTGAAGTAGTACTGCTCCTGGACCCCCACATCTGCTGGAACTGCACTCTAATTTCAGCAAACGTTTCAATGATGACTGCAATAAAAACATTCTGGGAAAAGAAAAAGAAAGAATGGCTGACACAAAGCTCAGCAAGCAGAAAAGAGAAGAAATTAATTCTAATAAGATCTATGTTTCCGACCAATTTAAAAAGACATATTTTTCAGTACCTTAACAAGCCAGGCCAGAAAGAAAATTAAGGTGATGAAATAGAAATATGAACGCCATCGGGGAAAACTGTCAATTGCTCGGTACATAAGGAACACCCAGCCTTCCTGAGAAGCAGCTTCGTAAACAGTAAATATGCTTGTGCCTGTCAGAGGAAAAAATGGAAATGTTTGGCATTAAACCTCCCTAAAAGTTTTCAGTATCAGCAAACAAACTTTTATCAATCCTATTTTGATTTTTTCTAAAGGGTGTCAGCTGTTCTCCTTCAAAGGTTTTCTGGTGCATTTCCATATTTCCTCCTTTTGCAATTGAATTGGTTTTGTATCAGATGAGACTGACACCCTTCCCTCCCTGGACAGACATGCATAATCCCTTAGAAGAGTTCACTGGCAATATGCAAATGTATCCAAAGGCAGAATTTGTCCCATCATTTGCATTCAACAGCATCCCTGAGAAAAGGCAAATTGAACAAAGATCAACATTCAGTAGGTGAAAGAAATCACTTTTAATATCAGTAACACTAAGCAAGTAGCAATAGACCAAGAAGGTGCCTGACACTAGCAAGCACAGTAAGCGTCTACAGCAAGCTACTGAACTGCTCTGAAATTCAGGTAGTAGCTGCATTAATGTACATATGTTGCCTTTTAAAAGCATTTTTAAGTTGGACTTGCTATATCACTCTTGAGGGGGTGGAGAAAAGATGAAAGGAAAATTATGAGAGACCTTTTTGTGCAGAAACCACTTCTGAATAGCAGTTATAAAGCTACTAATTTTAAGCATAAAGTCCAAACTCAACCTAATGTCTGAGTGATAATATGCTTTAGCCAGCTTGGTCTTCCTCCTTATCTCTGCAATGAAAGCTTCAAAATAAAGACCAGTTATAGCTTGTAAGTCATTCTTGTTTAAAGCAATTTTTTGTTCCAAGAAGAAACACAATTAAACTGTGAAATTAAACTGTGAAATCTCACAAACTGCTGTGAAATCACAGAATTGTCCTACAGCCACCCACCAGCTCTGCTCCACTACTGCTTCGTTTCATTGAATGTCTTCGATAAAAGAGAGAGAGCATGAGGAGCACTGCCCTCAGCAATACAGCAGCTGCTAGCAACATAAAGATGGAAAACCGACTATCTGATCTTCACAGTGAAAGAAGAGGTTCTGGGCAGAAATTCCAGAGTCCAGGAGTTTCCCAAAAAATCACAGCAGCCTATAGTGCTACTATTTTCCTGTTGAATTTGTAACATTCTACATCCTTTTGTCTGCTAACAGGGATGCAATGAACCTGGAGCCAGTTTTGCCTCAGGGAGTCCCTTCTGCAGACAAATCTTCAGAATTTAGAGAGGAGAGAGGGAAAGTAGGTGTTTTCTGTTTAACACCTACTTTTTATAGGTAGGTGTCAACTGGTTAAGATGGGCATGGTGGGTAAGAAAAACCGTTAGGTTTTTTAGTTATTGGATTCCTTGCTTTTTACTGCATATGGTTCTCAGGACCAAGAGAAAGAAATGAAAACAAAAGGAAAGGAAAAGAATTCAAGCATAGAAAGCAAAACCCTTTCTATTTCTTTAGAAGAAAAAGTGGTCTCTATCAATACTGAAATACTCCTGAAATACTCATCAGTGATTACTTCATGGGTATTTTGCATTTCAAAAATTCAAAAAGTAATGGTTCAATTGTCTAATAATATACTGTTGCTGAACTGATTAAATTATTGAACAAAACAGTGCTGTTGAGGACAGGCAGAGATTAAGGAAAAAAAAAAAGAATCTATTAAAAGTTGCTGGCTAGGAAACTGTCATTAGTCATTACCAATGGGAAAGTCACAGTGAAGATTAGTAAAATAGAGGGGATGTCATGCAAAGTATTTCTAACACATCTCTGGGCCATCTGCCACAGTAAAGCAATACTGTGAATGGACAAAAATGCACAATTAACCCAATTAAAATGAGTTTGCCTGTGACACTAAAGTAAAAACGTCTCTACCGTGTAGAGGTATTTTTAAGGCTGTTGGAAACAATCCCTCTTAAGAATATACATTCTTGCTTAACAAATGTGACTAGAATGTAATAAAACTTTCATTAATGATGCCAGGAACCATGCTGTTCACTGTCTCTTGGAAATCCTTTTTCAAACAGAATAAGGGATGCAGAATAAGGGATGCAACACCCTAAAATCTTTTGCCTTGAAAAAGAAGAGTTATTCTTAGTTAGCAACTACCTTACTGCATGTTTTTGCTCTTCTGTTTTTTTCTGATTATTTCTTTAGTTTTGGACTACAACTTCCTAAAGCCAATGAGTAAGTTATTAAAAGACTCTCCTCTCACAGCAACATACTCTGTTTTTCTCACCATGTTCAAAGCCATATGGAGGGTGAGAAAATATCAAAATTTTAAGTGATGGTAGGATACATCCCAAAAAACTAGACATGGGAATGCTGCCACAAATGAAACCCAACATATGCCCCTGAGATCAAATGGCAAATTTATTGTTTTCCACAGATGTCTGTATTCTATCAGTGACAAAGTGTCTTTTCCTACTAGTTCAAAGGGCTTAAGTAATGACAGCGTAGTGCTAAGAGTCTCATGCTTAGGGCATTTGAGAACATAGATCCCCCAGCAGCAGGAATATGGGTGCCACAGGGAATGAGGACTTGAAAACCTGCAGGGCCTGGCTATTCAATACATAACAGAATGCAGTCACCTCTTGTCAAAGTCCTGAACATTAGGATCATCATTTATGCAATGTAACTGCAGGCATCAGTGAGACTTTTCAGCCAAGAAAAAGCTTTGAATTATGAAGAGAGTTAAACACATGGTTGTTATGGCACTGCTCATCAGCTTAAGCATGTTGGCATGGGCAGCTTGCTGAATTTGAGATATAAAAATATCTAGCAAATATTTATGATAATTTTCCTGATTATTTCAGTGAATGGTTAAACCACGAAAGCATTCAATATTAATTTGGGAGGAACTTTCTGACAACAAAATAGGCAAGATAAAGTAACATGCTTTGAAGTTTTTGTGTTTTGTTTGAACTTGGCTAATAAATTCAATTTTGATGTTATAATAAAACAATTCCTTTAAACACAATGCTAGTTAAACAAAAAAAAAAGAAGCAAACACCTCTCAGTAGAAATTAAAAGTCAATAAATCAACATCATAATCCGTATCAATCTCAAATGACTACTTTTATCTAAGCAAGAAACACTTCTACCTTTGGAAATGTTTTACAGCTGTACGTAGTTAATATCAAAAAGAAAATAAAAAATGTTCAGAAAATGAAATATTTAGTGAAATACTGGGAAAGAGAGTGAATCTTGCTTACTTTATGTGGTATTTTCACTAGCTCCATACTGTATAGAAGACAAGACAGCAATCAGAGACAAACTTATCCTTACTCATATTGTATGTTTAGTATGTGGGGATTCAGCACCAGAGTGCAGGGGGCTTATTTCTTCTTCAATACACGTGCTTTCAGATCTAGAAGATGCCAACATTAGTCTGAAGGGGCATGGAGAAAATAGTTGCTTTGACACCTAAATAATTGTAATACAAGAAAATTCTAATGGTCTCCATGCCTAATCAGGAAGCAAGGTAACTTGGCTCTATACAGATGAGTAGATTACAGGGAAACAAAAAGAATTAGAGGAGCCAGGGGAAAAAGTGATGACTTTTTTTAGGGAACTAAAATCACCTATTCTGCCAAAACCCTGTTCTTTAAATTAGTAAGGAATATAGAAAGTGTGTATTTTTTAAAAACAAAGGAACTCAGAGTTAACAGAAAAATAGTATTACTATGCTGGGATGTACTGTATTTTATATTTACGCACATTTTGTAAATACACAGGATTTTTTGCTTGTTTCTGAGACTCTGATACCACCATGCTCTGTGACATCAACTCCTTCTATAACCAGCTCATTCTGCAAATGGACATCATGAGAAAAGGAGTGCACTGAATAACACTAATTTTATAATAGCAGAATTAAAGGAGCAGAGCTAAAAAATCACATGAAAATTCACTGATTTGGGAAACAGAACCCTTTCCTCCTAACTTGATGATGCATTCTTGCTTCTTGATTCAAAATCCCATATTATGGAATTATGGGAGTAGGAGAATGTATGGTGCTGAGGAGCTGCCTTTCATTAATTGATATCTGTGCTATGTGTAGCTATTCTGAGTGAGATGCAAAAACTGAAAACTAAGTTTAGCTATGCATTAACACCAGCAATTTTCTACATGTGTAAGTTATGTTTATGAACTACCTTGGCTTACCATGTTAGGATTTTCTCAGTTTTCTAGTGACTGCTGTGAATCTGCCGAGAAAGAAAATCTACAGGAGGGCCACTTTGGGGGGGGGGGGGGGGGGGAACCAACGAAAAAGCCGAACAAAAAAACAAAACAAAGACCCAAAGCTGTCTTTTAAATAAATTTCCTGTTTTTCTCTTTAATCAGGAGTTATTCAAGCAAGTAAAAATCCATGCGTTGTTATTAAAAGCTTAAACCACTAGCCACGGCCACGCAGCAAAGGCAGCAGATGGCAGGCAGCGCTCCTTTCCCTTAGTTCCCAGCAGCCGCTAGATGGGGGTCGTGCACCTCGGGCACATCTGGAACATCAGCCGGCGGTGGCGGCGGAGCGTCCAGCCCGGAGAGCACAGACTGTGTCAACCTCTCGCTGCGCCGGCTAAAGGATTGATTCTCCTATTTGCCGGCAAAGCTAAGCCGCCTTCTGGCAGGTGCTGCTGTCTAATTTCACTCTGTTGCGCTGCACGCTGAAAGGCAGCCTTCCTTAACACGGCTCTGTGAGTGACTGCCCATAAAGCAATGACCTCTGCCTGAGCTATGGAAATGTCACCATGCCTGTTTCTGTCCCTGCTTACTCATAAAATCACAAAGCTGCATGTTTCTTCAGGGCATGAGTATTTCAATTGACCAGTCAGCTTTTAATTTATCTTTCAGTATTAAGGTATTTGTAAAACAGTGCATGTGGTCAGGATTTTCCAAGTGTTTTACACTATTGCTTCAGTGAAAACTAGAAAGGACTAAAAATTGTCCAGAAATGCAAGGACAAAGTTGTTAACACCTCTGGGAAGCAGCTGGCAGGCAGGACTGAAATCAACTAAAAAATAACTAATCCTGAATGGCTTCATG